TAACAGCTATGGCAGATCCTCAGTCCCACCCTAAGAGGCCCCTCGTCTCAGTGTCCCGGTAATCGCTGCAAGCACCTCTGAGAGAAAGCCACCCTCGAGTTCCAACCAATGCCAGACAGTCCAGTTTCTCCCCGTGTGAGTCTGGGTCCCCAGAGACTCACCCAGAACTGGAGTTCAGAGCAGTCAGGAGCTTGTGTCTTCCTCCCGATTGAACAAGACAGCCACATCCTCAGTTGCCAGCCCTTTCCACGTGCACCTCCGTACCTCTGCATTTTACTTCCGCACCTCCTCTGAGTCTCAGTGTGCTTTTCTCTTTCCTTCTACTTGTAGAATTTCCACTCAGCCAGCCTTCCTGTGGTTCTGGGTGATGTCTGTTCCGTCTTTTAGTTGTATTTTTGAAGTGGTTGTGCGAGGCGGCAATTTCTGATGTTTACCTATGCTGCCATCTTGGTTTCTCTTTCCATTGATTTTTAGAGAGCATGGAAGAGAGAGGGAAAGACAGAGAGAAACATCAATGTTAGAGGGACACTTCAATTGGTTGCCTCCTGTGTGAGCCCTGACCTGGGGCCCGGCCAGCGAGGAGCCTGCAACTTAGGTACATGCCTTTGATCAGAATCAAACCTGGACCCTGCGGTCCATAGGCTGACACTCTATCCACTGAGCCAAACCAGCTAGGGCAGAATATGACATTTCTTAGCCCCTCTAGCCACAGATCTTTGTTTTTTCTCCAGGAGTGAGGTGGAAAAACCCTAGATCACCTTCTTGGATTCTTATTACCCAAGTTATCAAGAACTCTGCCAGTGGTGTGCGGGGAGCTTAGCCAATGAGCAGTCAGAAAAGGTGTTTCGTCTGCAGCTCACGTGCGGAGGTGGGACTGCTGGTGCACAGCGGCTGGCAGGCCCCCCTGTCTCTCTCCACTCCGGGTCTGCTCAAGCCACTGCGGCCGACACTGGCAGGCCCCCTGTCTCCAGTCTGGACCTGCTCAAGCCACCGCGGCATCTGTGGCTTGCCTCACCTTCCACACAGTCTCCTCCTGCCCACCTGCACGCACAGCCTTCTCCTGAGCGGTTGTGATGTTATGGCATCCCAGACAATTTGCATATTATCTCTTTTTATATATATAGATATTTTAACTCACACACAACAATAAATCCTATATAACAAGAGAGGAATATGCTAATTAGCTGTTACACCCTTAGGCATAACAACCAAGCACAGCACAACCAGATCACAGATCAGCAGTGGGTGGGCCAGCGAGGTACAAGTGGGCTACAGAGAGCTACAGGAGAGGGCAGGGCAACAAGCTATGAGGGGGGCATAGGGGGAGCTACAGTAGGGCGGCAGGGCTACTGCACAGGGCTACTAGTAAATAAATAATTTTTTTACATAAAGACCCTGTTGAATGGATGAAGAGATAAGCTACACACTTGGAAGAGTATTTGCAAACTGCTATCTGAAAAAGGACTTGTGTCTAGAATTTACAAAGCACTTCAATCTGTTTTTCATTCTCAACCATAAAAAATAGTCCACTTGTAAATGGGTAAAAGCCAGGTACAGACATTTCACTGAAGAGGATATACAGGTGGCAAATAAGTACATAAAAAGATATTCCACATCGCTAGCCAGCAGGGAAATGCAAATTAAAACCACAGTGAGATATCAGTGTATGCCTGTCAGAATGGCTAAGATAACAAGTAGTGACAACATGGATCATCACCAATTAACACCAATTATTTAAGTGCTAACACCAAATAGTGATATCACTAATAGTGATAAGGATGTGAAGACACCTTCAATCCTACCTTGCTGTTAGGAAAATAAAATGCTATAACTACTCAGGAAACTGATTCTTTGAAGACTATTCATGAAATTATCATACTGCCCAATAATTGCAGTCTTGGGCTTTTATTGCAGAGAAATAAAAAATTATGTTCACGCTTCAGAGCTTTTTTTTTTAATTGTGTGCTTTATTTTATTTTAAAATTTTTATTTTTCAATTACAGTTTACATTCAATATTATTTTGTATTAGTTTCAGGTATACAGCATAGTGGTTAGACAATCACATGTTTACAAAGTGTTCTTCCCAATACTCCTAGTACCCACCTGCCACCATACATAGTTATTAAATATTATTACATTCCCTATGCTGTACTTTACATCTCCTTTACATAACTTCTTTATTTGCCATAGAAAGTTAAAGCAACCCAGGTATGCTGTAATCAGTGCATAAACAAACTGGGTACATCCATAGCATGAAATATTACCAAAGAATAAAAGGTACCAGACCATTGATGAGCACAAACCTTACATGAATCTCCAAGGAATTCTCAGATGAAGGCTCAGTGAAAAAAGTCAATCCCAAAGGTTACATGCTCTATAATTTCATTTGTATAACATTCTTGAAATGATCAAAATTATAGAAGTGGAGAAAGGATTAGTGGTTGTCAGAGATTGGGAAGGAGGGTTTGGGGGAAGGAAGTAGTATGGTTATATAACATGGCGACACGCAAGGACTTTGTCTCCCCTTTTAGGAGCACCTGTATGTTCTGTACTCGATTGTGTTGGTGATCATACACATGTGCACACATGGTAAAATTTGTTTAAAACTAAATACAGCAAGGAGTGCATGTAAAACTGACGAAATCAAACCATGTATCAATGTCAATATCTTGGATATTGAGGTTGTACTATGGTTATACAGATGTTACTATTGGGGGGAGAGAGTGAAGGATATACAGGATTTCTCTCTACTATGTCTCATATGTGAGTTTGAAATTATTTCCAAAATTAAAAAAAGGAAGGTGCATAACCAATGTAAAAGTCCCGAAGAAGCCCCCAAGTAGTGGAAGCTAATAATATAACTATCCATAGACATTCTTTTCACCTCTCAAGGCATCCCTTTGAGTTAAAAAAAATAAAAATAAAAAGGACAATTTCAGCTATCATTAGGGGGTATAGTATGATTTTCCCAGAATTTGGAGATGAGAATTAAACTAACAAGAATAAAATAATTAAGAAGAGTAGCCATTAGCCACCATAGATGCTTCCACAACAAAATGAGGAAAGCAGTGCATAGTGAAAAGTAACCGCAGAGGAGAATCTGAGGAAGGTAGGCCTTCAATATGTGTGTACAGTTAAGGTATTAACTCATTTCGGGGGAGAGCCATCTGAAGAAAGAAACTTACTTATCAGGAAAGGTGTCTGCATCCTAGAGAAGCAGGACCCCAGAGAAGAAGAAAGTGTTTGGCTGTCCGGACGGAGCCTTGCTTTGGAAGGAGAGGCCCTCGTCCTAACATTGATCTTAGAGTTAGAGTTGGCAGAGCTGCCACTTATGGAACTTGTATTATGTGTGCGGAGTTACCAGTTCACATTAATCCTCAGCACAGCACACTGAGGATTACAGATATCTCCCATTTCCCCCCTTCTATTCTCCTCCTAATACAACTATTTTTTATGTAACAATCTATGCAATAAATAAAAGCTAAGTAGCAGTTATCTCCATAATTAAACTGAGGCTTAAGAAATGAAATAACTTCCGGGGGAAGGTCAATGGGGAAAAAAGGAGACATATGTACTACTATTTTTAATACTTTAAACAATAAAAAAAAAATGAAATAACTTGTTAGAGATCAGATGCACGGCAGAACTGGTTTTCGGTCCTGCGCATTGCCATACCATTTCCATTACACTGTGCTGCTTTCTTTAAAGTAAATTAGCACATGTAACTTGATGCCATGGTCTTAGAATTATCTCAACTCTCCTCACTCTATTTTCCTAATTCCAAATTCTGATTTCCCATATAGGTGTTCCTAAATGAGGAGCCAATGTATTTGTCCATTTGGCAGTTGTGTTTCTCGGTGGACATAAATAAGTTGGCATTATGGTTTATTCACCAGTCTGTTTTTAAAATGGTTTATAGGCATGAGTTCTTCTGGGGCTGATAATTTTGGGCATATTGGAGCATTCTGTTACTGCAAAGATATGCTACTGAACTTGGCTTAACCTACAAGTACTGGTTCAAACCCCAGTAAATGACTTTTCCCAATTAATTATAAAATCCAAAACAGTGAGCAGCAGTTTCTCCCTAGAAGTTCTATATAATCCCATATCCTTCTCCTGTCAGATCACCTGTGGAAATCACGAGGGTATTTTATTTTCCAGGAACCGGTATTTTTTGCCTTAAGCATTGTTAGCATCCAGTGTCTCCAATAGATTTTCTCTGATGGTTTTGGGCAAAGAAGTAAAGTGATAGTTGTTTCTTTCTGTTTTCCACCAATCATTTTTCATAGGCACTTCTGAAGCTCTGCTTTCCACTTTATTTTGGTGGGGGATTTTTATTTATGTATTTTTGCTTTAAAATATACCATCCAAAATGCCTACCATATGGCTTTCCTCCCCTCCTGCACAGTGTTGGTAGGAACGATTTTAAAGTTACACACATTTTCCAAATCATTCTTTTGAGTGTCTTCTGAGATTGTTGCTCAAGAACATTTTGAGAAAAATTCAGATTTGCAAAGCATTTGTCATTTCCTCCTGAGTTGCTAATTTATCTTGTAGCCATTTATTTCTAACATTCTTGTTACCTAAGCTGTAGACATATGTACATGCTGGACCCATAGATCCATATATCCATACATGCTAATAGCACTAAAAGTAGGTTTGACTTTGTCTTTGGTACCTAGTTCTAACACAAAACCTCCTCCTCCAAGTCCTAACCCAAACTCTTTTGTCGTTTCTTAAATACATCGATACTTGTATAAGGATAAGTGTCATAATTAGAAACTTTCCACCAGTTCTCAATGAAGACTCTGGAATATCTGAGCTAATGCAGGATAACAATCATCCATGTTACTTTGCAAGGATTTCCCATGTAGGTGGTCGTAATGTTGAACCATGGTTTCATAAGATGCACTCTTTTTCAACTAAAGTAAACTTCCTGTCTGTCCTGAATCAGGTACGTTTTTGTCTTTGTTATTAATATCTGTTCATTTTCTTTCAGTGGAACAGGAATGGATGGGAAGAAATTCAGCGTATGGATGTTTTTACCTCTTGTATTTACTTTATTTACTTCGGCTGGATTGTGGATAGTGTGAGTATCCTCTTATTTATTATTTAAGGATTGGAGTGCAACATAGATAACAATGTGGTTTTGATAGCATATGGCATATCTAGAGCAATGTGTTTATAAACGCTTCAAAAAAATGTTTACAAATTCAACCTTGCTAAGGTCCCCATTTCTCTCCCCTTCTTCTGTTACCCAAAGTAACAAGAGTAATAAATTATGTAAAGCAGGTAGTGAAGAATACTAGACTCTTGTGTTCCCATGTCCTTCCAGTAATGAACATCCTAAACACTGGTGATATGGATTCATTATTTGCAAGATTTGCTAATTTGACACTAACATCCTAAAGATTTTATGACAGTCCAGTTCATAGGGTGGTTTTTTGTGTGATTAGGTCTGGTATGTTATAAAATGGGTATCATTACATTGGAAATCTTGTCTTATCACAAAACATTCCCACTCTTGCTTATTTCAATTACTGTTCACTTGTAGAAAATCATTTTAGCCCTAACCAGTTTGGCTCAGTGGATAGAGCGTCGGTCTGTGGACTGAAAGGTCCCAGGTTTGATTCCGGCCAAGGGCATGTACCTTGGTTGCAGGCACATCCCCAGTAGGAGGTGTGCAGGAGGCAGCTGATTGATGTTTCTCTCTCTTTGATGTTTCTAACTCTCTATCCCTTTCCCTTCCTCTCTGTAAAATATCAATAAAATATATTTTTAGAAAAAGAAAAAGAATTATTTTAGTTCCTTGCAGTTCATTAAGAAAGGTGGAGTGAGAAATTAGGAAATTAGAAAATTTGAATTTGAATTTTAGTTTCCCCAAAGCTGTAAGGTCTCATTTCTTTGTTTTCAGATTATAATTGTTTCCATTAATTTTTGGGATGTTTTGAAAATTAAAGAAATATTATTAAGAATGACATTGAGCTTCGAAGAACTGTATGATCTAAAGGTAAAAAGCATTAGAGTAAAAGAGCATTCGTGGTTAG